GTGGGGCTATATCTGTTGTTTTTAGTGACTGTGGAATCTCCACTATGTCTAAACTCCTCCTCCATAGCCTACTTAGGGCCCGTGAGAGGGGTTTCTTGCAACTCTTAATGAACACCGAGTTCCACGAGTCTGGGCCTGGGGCTGAGTGCATGGGCATGTCGTCGATGGCTTTCTCAAAGTCTAGTAGAGTTAGGGTTATGTCATAAATTTGGCATACACTGGCAGGGTTTTGAGGCTCATTCTTGAAAAAATTGTTTGGTTTGTCTATCTTTAGACTGGTTAGTGGCTCACTGAACACTGTCATATTGCGATTTCAGTATCTCACTCATTTCTTTGTTGTCGTCTGTGTAGGATCCGTCTTGTCTGGGCAGGGGCCCTATACTGGAAGTGGTTTTTGACTTGTTTTTGGCATATGAAAAGAAATATTTCGAATTTCTTTCAATTTCACTAATCGCTTTTAGCTCCTCTTGTCTCTCCTGGATCCTGTATGAGTCCTTTAACTTTAGCTCAATATTTTCCACTTCCCTGGTTAGCACTTCCTTCCGTGTATCAAATAATCTAGCATTCTTGAGGAGCTCAATGATTCTTCGTCTTCTCCTGTTTACTTCTTTTTTTTTCTGATAGGAATATACCTTGAACATACTTCAGCTACCAGGAGAGTAATCTTTTCAAGGCATTGGTTAGGGTCCATGTAATTTAAGACATCCTCCCAGCATGTTTCATTTAGGGCATAGTTTACCTGATCCCAGATGATGTTCTTATTGTTGAAGTTGAATTTGGTAAAGGTACCCTCATAGCTGTATGCATCTTGCCGATCAGGACTCCTATGCATGCAAGTCTGGACTTCGATTAGATTGTGATCAGAATTTGTCGTTTTTTATATTGTTATATTCCTTACCAGGTCCTCATTATTTGTGAAAAATAAGGTCTAGTGTGTTCTCCAGTCTTTTTGGCTCCACTATCTGCCGACTTAGGGTGTGTTTGGTGCAGAAATTCAGCAGCTCCTGTGTGTGACTTTTCATCTGAGCTGCCCCCAGGGATTATTTCTGCTAAAACATTATTTGCTATATTCTTTCATTTTGTGTGTCTTAGACTGAAGTCACCAAACAGCAAGATGTTTGGGGATGGGGCTGGAAAGTTTTCCAGACAGGAGTCAATTTTTGATAGTTGTCTTTGAACTGTTGGGAAGTTGCATCCGGTGGCTTGTATACAAGTACAATGACTAAATTTTGTTTCTCGAGTTTTATTGTCAGAACTTCAACTACATCATTTGTGGTGTTCAGTATCTCTGTGCAAATGAGAGACTCTTTGACATACAGGCCAACCCTCCCCTTGTTGCCTGTTCTTTGTGTCGCATCTGAAAAGGCTGTATCCAGGTATCCATATTTCACTGTCAAAGTAATCTTTTGCGTGGGTCTCTGTGAAAGCTGCAAACAGTGTATGTAACTCCCCTAGAAGTCTCACACTGAGGTTTTTCACATATTTGTGAAACCTCACACTGAGGTTTTTTACATCTTTGTGAAGCCTCACACTGAGGTTTTTCACATATTTGTGAAACCTCACACGGAGGTTTTTTACATCTTTGTGAAGCCTCACACTGAGGTTTTTTACATCTTTGTAAAGCCTCACACTGAGGTTTTTTACATCTTTGTGAAGCCTCACACTGAGGTTTTTTACATCTTTGTGAAGCCTCACACTGAGGTTTTTTACATCTTTGTGAAGCCTCACACTGAGGTTTTTTACATCTTTGTGAAGCCTCACACTGAGGTTTTTTACATCTTTGTGAAGCCTCACACTGAGGTTTTACACATCTTCGTGAAGCCTGACACCGAGTCTTGACAGGTCTGAGCCACGGGAGGGATTATAACAGTTACCCCTCACGGCGTGAAAAAAAAAAAAATACACACGATAATGCTATTACATCAATAATTTCAAATTCAAGTCCGTCATTATTTTTTTCCCTGCTAGATAAAATTATTACTATTATAATCAAAAAGAAGCATCCTTGATAAAAACAAAAAACTGATAGGCAGGGACATCAATGGGAAACATTTTGCAAATTAGCCATCATTATCCAGTCCATTATTTCTTATTGAAACTGACAAAATACATTTCCCCCTTTGTGGATTTAAAATAATAATAGTAATGGTGAAAAATATGAAACACATATTTACTGTTTTGATTTGATCCAGGGTTGTATATGTGATTGATACATGGAAATTTTAGATATTAAATATACTGTAGGAGACACTGTCTATAATGACGGCCCAGGTAGATAGTGTTTTGGGGTTTGTGTTAAGGGAGTAGTGGTGCCAGGTGGTGGCAGTAACGTAGTGGTGCCAGGTGGTGGCAGTAACGTAGTGGTGCCAGGTGGTGGCAGTAACGTAGTGGTGCCAGGTGGTGGCAGTAACGTAGTGGTACCAGGTGGTGGCAGTAACGTAGTGGTGCCAGGTGGTGGCAGCAACGTAGTGGTGCCAGGTGGTGGCAGTAACGTAGTGGTGCCAGGTGGTGGCAGTAACGTAGTGGTGCCAGGTGGTGGCAGCAACGTAGTGGTGCCAGGTGGTGGCAGTAACGTAGTGGTGCCAGGTGGTGGCAGTAACGTAGTGGTGCCAGGTGGTGGCAGTAACGTAGTGATGCCAGGTGGTGGCAGTAACGTAGTGGTGCCAGGTGGTGGCAGTAACGTAGTGGTGCCAGGTGGTGGCAGTAACGTAGTGGTGCCAGGTGGTGGCAGTAACGTAGTGGTGCCAGGTGGTGGCAGTAACGTAGTGGTGCCAGGTGGTGGCAGTAACGTAGTGGTGCCAGGTGGTGGCAGTAACGTAGTGGTGCCAGGTGGTGGCAGTAACGTAGTGGTGCCAGGTGGTGGCAGTAACGTAGTGGTGCCAGGTGGTAGCAGTAACGTAGTGGTGCCAGGTGGTGGCAGTAACGTAGTGGTGCCAGGTGGTGGCAGTAACGTAGTGGTGCCAGGTGGTGGCAGTAACGTAGTGGTGCCAGGTGGTGGCAGTAACGTAGTGGTGCCAGGTGGTGGCAGTAACGTAGTGGTGCCAGGTGGTGGCAGTAGCGTAGTGGTGCCAGGTGGTGGCAGTAACGTAGTGGTGCCAGGTGGTGGCAGTAACGTAGTGGTGCCAGGTGGTGGCAGTAACGTAGTGGTGCCAGGTGGTAGCAGTAACGTAGTGGTGCCAGGTGGTGGCAGTAACGTAGTGGTGCCAGGTGGTGGCAGTAACGTAGTGGTGCCAGGTGGTGGCAGTAACGTAGTGGTGCCAGGTGGTGGGCAGTAACGTAGTGGTGCCAGGTGGTGGCAGTAACGTAGTGGTGCCAGGTGGTGGCAGTAGCGTAGTGGTGCCAGGTGGTGGCAGTAACGTAGTGGTGCCAGGTGGTGGCAGTAACGTAGTGGTGCCAGGTGGTGGCAGTAACGTAGTGGTGCCAGGTGGTGGCAGTAACGTAGTGGTGCCAGGTGGTGGCATTAACTTAGTGGTGCCAGGTGGTGGCAGTAACGTAGTGGTGCCAGGTGGTGGCAGTAAAGTAAGATAAGATAAGAGAGATAAGATAAGATTTCGTTCGGATTTTTAACCCCGGAGGGCTAGCCACCCAGGATAACCCAAGAAAGTCAGTGCGTCATCGAGGACTAACTTATTTCCATTGGGGTCCTTAATCTTGTCCACCAGGATGCGACCCACACCAGTCGACTAACACCCAGGTACCTATTTGCTGCTAGGTGAACAGGACAACAGGTGTAAGGAAACGTGTCGAAATGTTTCCACCCGCCGGGTATCGAACCCGGGCCCTCCGTGTGTGAAACGGGAGCTTTAGCCACCAGGCCACCAGGTGGTGGCAGTAACGTAGTGGTGCCAGGTGGTGGCAGTAACGTAGTGGTGCCAGGTGGTGGCAGTAACGTAGTGGTGCCAGGTGGTGGCAGTAACGTAGTGGTGTGCAGGTGGTGGCAGTAACGTAGTGGTGCCAGGTGGTGGCAGTAACGTAGTGGTGCCAGGTGGTGGCAGTAACGTAGTGGTGCCAGGTGGTGGCAGTAACGTAGTGGTGCCAGGTGGTGGCAGTAACGTAGTGGTGCCAGGTGGTGGCAGTAACGTAGTGGTGCCAGGTGGTGGCAGTAACGTAGTGGTGCCAGGTGGTGGCAGTAACGTAGTGGTGCCAGGTGGTGGCAGTAACGTTGTGGTGTTGCCAGTGTGGTGCCAGTGGTGCAGTAACGTAGTGGTGCCAGGTGGTGGCAGTAACGTTGTGTTGCCAGGTGGTGGCAGTAACGTAGTGGTGCCAGGTGGTGGCAGTAACGTAGTGGTGCCAGGTGGTGGCAGTAACGTAGTGGTGCCAGGTGGTGGCAGTAACGTAGTGGTGCCAGGTGGTGGCAGTAACGTAGTGGTGCCAGGTGGTGGCAGTAACGTAGTGGTGCCAGGTGGTGGCAGTAACGTGGGTTTCAGGTGGTCAGTACGTAGTGGTGCCAGGGTGGCAGTTACTGTTGCCAGGCTGTGGCCGTAACAGCGCCACTGGCAGAACCAGCCCATAGGTGCAGTAACGTATGTGAATGTTGCATAACGTTCTCCGTTTCAGTAGCCTTCGGAAGCGGGAATATTGCAATGGGAAACGAATTGGTGCCAGTGGTGAATAGCACTAGTGGTGAGGTGGTTAGCAAGTAACGGTGGAGTAATTATATACGTCAGTGCAGTTGTGGCGCAGCGCGTCCAGACCTACAGTCACCTACAATCAATCATACTAAATGTAAATAACTGGCTGCACGCTTACATGCCACATCGTAAGCAAATTCATGGATTATATTGTGTAGTAATAGACTATTTGATACGATAAGGGGGTATATATGTATAATGTTCCCCTAAGTCTGTTAAACGGAAGAAAGGACGCGGGCGAATGAGTAGAATGTGATGTTTATTGGTTTTAAAACTTATCTCAGAAGTGTGTATATCTCAAGTTGACGGATCGGAATTTTGAGTGTTGTAAGACATCTGAGGTTATTCACAGGACTATAGGCTTACACTGCAAGGTTACATCAGCGGACAGGAAGCCCCGCTAGACGAGCTCCCATCTTGGAAGCGAGAACTTATTTTACGTAAGAGGGCCAACGCCAGAATTCACGGGGGATTTGGCCTGGCGCCTCCTGCTGCACCGATGGCGGGTCGTGAACGAGGCTCAGTGAGTGGGCCAGTGTCGCCATCCTCGCTAAGTGGCCCACACAACCAAGCACTGATATCCTCGTTGAGTGGCTCCCACCACCCGGTTGCTACAAGCTCGCTGAGTGGCCTCCACCACCCGGCAGCAGCACGCTCACTGAGTGGGTCAACTCCCTCCCACCCCCACCCTTCGCCTCATGCGAACTACACGGCGGTCAGTTCACGTTTGGATGGTGCACGTGTGACTGTCAGTGGTGGTGGTGATGGAAATCAAACCCATAAATATGGTATAACAGGTGGAGTAGCGAGTGTAAACGTAAGCAGCAACATGCATCATAAGGGTTTAAATGATGAGGGGCCGAGGGTCACCTCGCCTACGTATTCCACCGTCAGTGACTCCTATGCTCAAGAAGATGAAGAACTTAGGTATGGACCGGGCATCGTGTCCAAACTTAAAAACCGGTACTTGAGCCTGGCCATGAGGGAGACGAGGTCCCGGCCGTCGCTACGCAGGTTCAGCTCTCTAGAAGACTTGTTGGATACTGAACCCCGGGAAACCTGGCAGGAAAGTGGCAGCAGTGATGTCAAGCCTCGCACCGCCCCGGACACTGCCATCAGTCACCGGCGCGAGGTGATGAGAAGGGCACGATCTGTGGATTCCTTGAGTTGTAGACTAGCCGAGGACACTACTAGGACTAGGACCACAGGGCTTCCTAAGAGTAGGTCGGCTACAAGTCGTCTCCAATCTAGTCTGTGTGCGCTGGGCAAGGATGACGTCATCATCATAGAGACCAGCAGGCCGGTGACCATGGAACACAAGGCTGTAAATGGTGCCCAGACAGTGGATGCTGGCGAGCCTCCACCTCTCACCCGCAAGCTCTCCTCTTCTAGCTTAGTGGAAGACGAAGATATGCCCGCCCCAGACACCGTTCGCCAAGTGAAGAAGTTATTCGAACCCACTAGTAACCGTCCCCTGCGAGGCACAGCTGCTCGTGTGGCCGCCCACAAAGCAGCCCAGTCATCAAAAACTAATGGTGTTGCATTAGTCTCCAAGCCAGCGCTTAAAGTCAAGCCTTCTGTAATGCCAGGCCGTAAAATTACTCCTCCATCCTCCACACAGTCTATCACCATCGAGGAAGCTAAGTCTTCCCTTAAAAAAGTGGCACAGGTGACGCGGCCGTCACCGCGGGCCACACTTAGTGTAAGGGCCACAGCCCTAAACGGCGATGCAACATCCCCTACAAATTCTGGTCAGGAACTAGTAAGTACAGTAAGGGCGAGGGCAGGGTTGACCCCTGTGAGTGCGTCTGTTACTGCACCCTTGGTGAATGGTGACCCCGGACCAAGGCAAGCACACAGCGAAAGTCTCAGTGCGTTTGAGGTAGAGGAAGGGGTAAGGAGGGTATCCAACATTGCCGTCTCAAATATTAGGAAGGAGAGTCATTCTCAGGAATTTAACTTTACAAATCGACCTGCCAACACTCCTGGTGGTTCATTAACATCACCAAAACCGTCTTCCCCAACGCCCACGCCCTTGCCAGCCTCCCCCATTGCTTCTCACAGAGTGCCCGCCCACACGTCCTTAAGTAGTAAAGGTGAGAGGGCACAGGAGAGTGAACGCGTGCATCAAAAGAACCTCAAGAACGCGAAGTCGCTACCACAGACTCCGCCAGTGTTGCCTAATCAAACAAAAGTAGAGACCCCAACAAAGGTAGAAACTCCTCAAACAAAATTTCCCACCCCAGCAAAAGTGGAAACTCCTACAATAACCAAAGTCGAACCTAACAAACCTGTCCCTAAGGTGGAACTTTTTAAACCCTCTCCAAAAGTGGAACCCCAGAAGATAACGAGTCCAAAGAAAGTTGAATCAAAATCAGAAGTGATATCTCCCGTGAAAACTGAGCTAATCAAATCACCTTCATACCCTACTGAGGCGCTAGTGAGGAGCTCTAACAAGGGAAGCTTGGTGGAGGCCTTCAATATTAACAAACAACCACTCGCCAATAATAGTCCAGGGAGTACCCCAACCACCACCAAAACGGCGAGCCATCGGGACCGTTGGCACCAACAGGAGAACACATCACTGGTGTTCAACTTCACCAGTAGTAAAAAGGAAACTCCGGACTACATAGAGAATGATGGCATCGACTTGTCCAAGAGACCAGAGGTAAGTCAGCTGTTAAAGTGCCACAGCTGCTCTCAGCTTTTCAGAAATCTTGTTTGTGATTCATGCTGGCTGATGCTTAAATAAGCAGAGCTCAAGGCTGCAGCACTGTTACAGTTGCCAGCAAAGTATATTGGTTGCTCATATATTAATGCTTAAAATCACTGTGAACCTTGTGTTTGAGTACCTGAAAGAGCTAACAGTTATGAGGGGTGTACCTACAACAGATGTACCGCTTCTCTTAATACTTTCACATCTCGTCTTGTGGGTGGGATTGCCTCATTGCTCACTGCAGCATTCAACGTGAAAACCTGTTTTATAGAGTATTGTTCTCTATTTTAGAATTAAGAGATTCCTCAGAGGGCAACAAATTAGTATTTTATTCTTTGATAGCCTCAACCCAGCTAGTCATAAATGTTAACGCTTAAGTCAGTACAGTATATTTACTTGTATGGCTGGTATATTTTTTTATCATAAGTTTAGATATACCCATGTCATTATCCACAATTATAATTATTTATTTTGCAGTTCGTATTTTATCCTGTATGTTATTTGTATACTTGATGTCTTGCGAAAAGCGGTTCTTAGTTATATTGTGAACAATCCTTTAGCAATAAATTGTATTAATGTACAAGTGTTGTACCAGAGTTTTCAGTAGGACAAATTAGTGATGCTGGAAACTTTTGTCTATTTTTTATTTACATGAATAATTATTCTGTAATCAGGTGTGTGTACGAATATGTGCCGGTATGAGTAAAATAATTTCAAAATTAATAAACAGTTTAGATTAGTTAAGCTTTATTTGTTATTTAGGATCATTTATTTGCCCAAGTGATCCTCTCAAACTGAGATGAAGCATCCTCCAGCCAACGAAATTAAGCTCCACTTCAGTCCTTGTAAATCCCTACAGGTTTAGAGCTTCCTTATACATATAATAATCTAGACCACTTTGTAACGAGAAGGTAAGTTTACAGTTCTAATTGTTGTTGCTTATGGTTTAATTGTTCTCTGGGTAATCTAAGGTTCAGATTTTCCAGTATTTCTGCCTATTCTTGTAATGTGCCTGACTTGAACAACTGATGAGTGACTATTTGTAGATTTTGGATTAATAATTTATTAAGAACTTTCTAGTTGTTAAATGAAAATTTTTTTGCACATATGAACGCGTTGAAATCTCGTATCTTATAATTTATATATATTTGTAGTTATATTAATATTTTACAGTTTTCGTTAGGCTTATAACTCAAGCTTCATCGACCTGTTTGTAATTTGGGGATTACCCGAAAGGCACTTAAACAGTGTTGCCATATCCTTTAACATTATTGGATTTAAAATTATTCTGAAACACGTTTGATGTTGACCCAAATCAGTTGGTGGCGCACCATTTTCGTAATTATTAAGATAGGCAAATTATTCAAATCAATTCCTGATCCAATGGGTGTTTTACACGCATCTGACTATGGGCGGTAGTACCAATAGCCTGATCACTCAGGCCATTAACTCGGAGGCCTGGTTTGGAACCGGACCGCAAAACTGACCTCGGAAAATGACTATGGGTAACCTACACAACGTTGTAACATTATTTGTAACAGTGTTAGAGCGAAAGATTGTGATTTAATTTATCTCAGATGATTACTGATTTTTGACCTTACATGCAAACACCTGCTATAAAGTAGCGAAGCATCTGCTATAGATACCTTCGAGGTTCCTTGACGCTGGTGAAGGGCTCTTGGTCTAGGGAATTGGATCTGTGCTCCGGTTCCCTGAATTGAGCCTGAATATCTTCCATTCCTCCACGTGCGCTGTATAATCCTACGGGTTTAGCGCTCCCCTATGATTATAATAATTATAATCTGCTATAGACAATGTGAGAAATAACGAAAGTGCTTGGAAATTCTTTATTATTTTTTATAGTTATTTTGCCTATTGTGATATGTTTACTGTGTTTTTATTGCATGTCTTATAGTTTTTTATTTACTGCAGTTATATATAAAATCTTAATCTTCAAGTAACCTGAAGATAATTTCGGGGGTCAGTGTCCCCGCGGACCAGCCCTAGACGAAGTCTCTGGGTTGGTGGCCTGATCAACCAGACTGTTAGGACCAAGTGCACGGATCAAAACATAGGCACTACATTCCGGCTGATCAGGCACTGACCAGAGGAACATAATTCACTCAAAGACAGCTAAGGGCCTGTTCGTAATTCCCCTTAATACATATATTACAATTGAGTGTTAAGGCTTACCGTTTGACAATCATTTAAAATTAAGTAGGCAATCTACCACGTTTTTAAACGTGAGTTTACATTAATATCCCTATTATACTAAAGGAAAAAATAATACACACACACACACACACACACACATATATATATATATATATATATATATATATATATATATGAGAGAGAGAGAGCTTTTATGAGGATAGTGAGGCTCAGGTTAGGGTGTGTAGAAGAGAGGGAGAATACTTCCCGGTAAAAGTAGGTCTTAGACAGGGATGTGTAATGTCACCATGGTTAATATATTTATACATGGGGTTGTAAAAGAAGTAAATGCTAGGGTGTTCGGGAGAAGGGTGGGATTAAATTATGGGGAATCAAATTCAAAATGGGAATTGACACAGTTGCTTTTTGCTGATGATACTGTGCTTATGGGAGATTCTAAAGAAAAATTGCTAAGGTTAGTGGATGAGTTTGAGAATGTGTGTAAAGGTAGAAAGTTGAAAATGAACATAGAAAAGAGTAAGGTGATGAGGGTATCAAATGATTTAGATAAAGAAAAACTGGATATCAAATTGGGGAGGAGGAGTATGGAAGAAGTGAATGTTTTCAGATACTTGGGAGTTGACGTGTCGGCGGATGGATTTATGAAGGATGAGGTTAATCATAGAATTGATGAGGGAAAAAAGGTGAGTGGTGCGTTGAGGTATATGTGGAGTCAAAAAGCGTTATCTATGGAGGCAAAGAAGGGAATGTATGAAAGTATAGTAGTACCAACACTCTTATATGGATGTGAAGCTTGGGTGGTAAATGCAGCAACGAGGAGACGGTTGGAGGCAGTGGAGATGTCCTGTCTAAGGGCAATGTGTGGTGTAAATATTATGCAGAAAATTCGGAGTGTGGAAATTAGGAGAAGGTGTGAAGTTAATAAAAGCATTAGTCAGAGGGCAGAAGAGGGGTTGTTGAGGTGGTTTGGTCATTTAGAGAGAATGGATCAAAGTAGAATGACATGGAAAGCATATAAATCTATAGGGGAAGGAAAGAGGGGTAGGGGTCGTCCTCGAAAGGGTTGGAAAGAGGGGGTAAAGGAGGTTTTGTGGGCGAGGGGCTTGGACTTCCAGCAAGCGTGCATGAGCGTGTTAGATAGGAGTGAATGGAGACGAATGATACTTGGGACCTGACGATCTGTTGGAGTGTGAGCAGGGTAATATTTAGTGAAGGGATTCAGGGAAACCGGTTATTTTCATATAGTCGGACTTGAGTCCTGGAAATGGGAAGTACAATGCCTGCACTTTAAAGGAGGGGTTTGGGATGTTGGCAGTTTGGAGGGATATGTTGTGTATCTTTATATGTATATACTTCTAAACTGTTGTATTCTGAGCGCCTCTGCAAAAGCAGTGATAATGTGTGAGTGTGGTGAAAGTGTTGAATGATGAAAGTATTTTCTTTTTGGGGATTTTCTTTCTTTTTTGGGTCACCCTGCCTCGGTGGGAGACGGCCGACTTGTTGAAAAAAAATAAGAAAAAAAATATCCAAATATTCTTCCTTGAAGCCTTTTTATCCACTTCTCCGAGGCTGTGGGTCCCACAATTTACACCAGAGGTGGACCCCATCCTATATAAAAAAAATATATATAATATATATATATATATATATATATATATATATATATATATATATATATATATATAATAAACAAACCTGTATTTAGCACTGTTATCGTAATATGTTATTGTGATAATCGTACTAGACTCAATGCATCAAGGTCCACGTCACATGAGTCACGGTTCTGAAAGGCTTACAAAAACCTACATTATAGCTTTTATTACCTTGTTTGATTTTTTTTTAACGAGAAAAAATATACTGTGCATTGACATGTAGGCACCTCTTGATTAAATAGCACTTCCTTTTGTGTTACTGTGCCTCAGTTTCTGCACAAGCTAATCCTACACCAAATTTAAATATTGCATTAGTTAGTCTAGCGCAGGTTAGGCTTGGTTATTTAACATTATTGATACATGGTTAGATAAAGAAGCACCAAAAAAAAAAAAAGATTTAATAAAGGAGTTAGTAACGTCTGGCAGAGGGGGATACACCGTTGTAGCTTAAATAGTTGGAAACCACAAGTTCGTTATTTACTGTGGAGGGTGAGTTGCATAAATATGGGGAGCATCTTTCGAGTAATTTTGCATGCATTTCTTTTGCAAATTTCCGATGTTAATAAATATCTACAAATGACATTGTGAAAATTTATAATATGCATTTGGTATATAGATAGTGGTTCCGAGGATCATCGCCCCTGCAGCCCGGTCTCAGACCAGGCCTCTTTAGGATAGTAAATATTACAGAAATAGGAACTAGTAAGAAATATACTGAAAAGTAATGCTAAGCTCTTATTGAATTTAAAAGGGAGTTTGTAAAATTTACCTGTCATGTAACATGTGCACGAGATCAGCAATCATTTCAGAATGAAAAACTTTTAACTGGCTTCACTTCGTACTTGTTTGACAGGACGGTTTCACTTCTTTGGCAGACTTGTTGTCTATCAGATAGTCATACAAGCGTGTTCATATATATGCAACAGGTACCTTGATAAACTGAACGGGGACAATCTTACTTATGCTTATCTGTTTACATGCACCATGTACTGACTTTTATGCAAGACATTAGTTACGAGGTGCATAAATGTGCTCATATGTATGTACAACATTCGAATAAAGGGCTACAAATTTTTAAATATTGACTTTTTCGTTTAAGTCACTTTAAGGCAATCATGTACTTCC